GATTGGGAAATTCTAGAATCAAACCATGAGGGAGAAAGTTTTTTTGAAACTGTTCAGGATGGCTTGTTTCACCAGTTAGTCAAGGAACCTACTAGAAACAATGCTATTTTAGTCTTACTCTTCAAATACAGAAATTATTGAGAGGGTAAAAATTGGGGAACATATGGTGTCAAATGATCTTTGCTGTATTAGGTTCAATGTTTTGCTTCTTATGGAGATAAAGAATAATGATATTTTGGTTACAAATTTCCAAAAAGCCAAATTTGAAGGAATACGACAAGAATTATATGTTGTGAATTGGGCAGCTGAGTTATTTGGAGACACTTATCATATGTGGAAAATGTTTAAAAATACATTTTAAATATTCAAGATAAACATATTCCATATAGAAAGAAAAGGATAGCTACAAGTAAAAAAACAGGTTGGCTCACAAAGAATTTGAGATAAAATTAAAGAAAAGCATCATAAATTTAAGAAATTTTTATTGACTGGTATGACAGGAAATTTAGAAGATCAAGAAAGTTGGTGAAACAGGAAATTAGGATGTATGAGAAAAGGTTGGCCGAAAATGTAAAAATTAACAGTAATGATTTCTTTAAATACATTAAGGATAAACAAAATGTTAGGATGGGGGTAGGACCTTTGAGGTATGATAAAGGAAGGCTAGTATCTGATGGTTAAGAGATAGCTCGATTATTAAATTTTACTTTTTCTTCAGTTTTTACTAATGAATGTTTAGGCAGTATTCCACATCTTGAACAGTTGATAAATGGAAACGAGATCAAACAAAATGACTACATTAGTTTTGAGCTGGTTAAAAAAAAATTGGAAAGTTTAAAATATGATAAGGCTCCTGGGCCAGATAATATTTCTCCAAGGGTTTTAAAGGAAGTTAAAGATTGGATATGTGAGCCACTTACTACTATTTTGTGTCAGTCCTTGAATAGTGGGCAGGTACCTGAAGATTGGAAGTTAGCTAATGTTCAAGGGAGGAGATAAAAATTGTCCCAGTAATTATAGACCCATTATTATTACATCAGTTGTGGGAAAAGTTTTGGAAAGTTTGTTAAAAGATGCTTTGAAAAGTCATTTAACAAAATTTAGGTTTCATTAAGGGAAAATCTTGCATAACAAATCTTTTGACATTCTTTGAAAAGGTTACTGCTTATGTAGATGAGGGTAGATTTGGTGTTTCTGTATTTGCAGAAAGCATTTTATAATGTGCCACAAAAAAAGGCTTGTAAAAAAATTAGTCTCTATAGGTGTGGAGGATAAATTAGCAAATTGGACAGAAGAGTGGCTAGGTGGAAGAAAGCAGAAGGATGTTACAAATGGAGTTCAGTCAAACTGGATTAATGTCATAAGTGGGACACCTCAGGGCTCAGTCTTGTGACCTTTGCTCTTTTAGATTTACATTAATGAAATAGATGAAGGAATGGTCAACAAATTACTTAAATTTGCTAGTGATATTAAGTTTTGGATGCAGCTAGCTGTGAAGAGGATGCTGCTGATTTACAAAAGTATTTAGATCATGTAGTAAGTTGGGCAAATATATGGCAGCTGGTTTTAATTA